ACAAGATTTCTTGCTACTTTGCACAAGTCTGTGAGTGACTGCAAAAGCACTGATGTATAATAAGCAAATTTTAAGGGAATGCAAATAAATTTTAATGAGAAGGCAAATTTGCAAATACAAAATCTACAGATAATGAAATCAACTGTATTTGGACATATGTTTCTAGTTGCATATGTGGATTATGTTTCAGTTGCATAGGTAATTTAACCACACATTTTGGATTATATTTACTATGTACCTTATTTTTAATATTAGTGCAATGCTCCATAATCTAAATGCTAAAGAAAACCCATCATTGGGACTACAGAATTAGGCTTACTTTCTGTTATAATTCCGGTGGCTTTCGTAGGTCCTTCCACCTCACTCCTCTCCCTTCTATATTTTCTATTTTGTTAAAGAGACTAGATAAGAGTTAGAAGATGTAGTTTCAGTGTTAACTTTGCCCTTACCTAACTGTGGGATCTTAAACAATTTATATGGCCAAATTAAGTCTTATTTTCTTATTAGTACAATGAATGTGTTGTGCCAGATGATCTCTAAGACCTTTCTAAGCCTTAAAACTCTGTTATTCTACATATGTGGATCTTGGAAATGTTATGCATTAAAACAAATTATAATGCTAAGGAAAATTATTTCAATAATTATAATAAGGTGAAAGTTGAGAATACATACATTTTTAAAGCCCTGGAATTCATTATTTTATTTTTATTGTTGAGAGTATTACAAATGTTCCCCATTTTCTCCCCTTTGTACCTCCTCCACTAGCTCCCATCCACCACATGCCTTCACCTCACTATTATCTGTGTCAATGCATCTGAGTTATTTGGTAAATCTCTTCTCACACCCCCTTTTCCTTTCTCTCTGATCTGTAAGTCTGTTCCATGCTTCCATGTCTATGGACCAATTTTGTTCATCAGTTTGTTCGTTAAAATGCTAACATTGTTAGCTGAAAAAGACATTATAAATTATTGGACTATAAATGATTTATCTGATAAAAACTCTCATACACAAATAGGCTTATATACACACAACGACCAGTTAAACAATATAACAATAATATAATCCATTTTAAATAGAAAAATATATTATTTTAAATCTTAAAAATAAGATTACCTAGAAAAGTATAAGAATTATAAGAAGCAAGAAAAGATTTAAATAAATTTAAAGATATAATCTGCTGTTAGCCTACAAGCCATAAGTTTAATGAATGCAAATAGAAATTTCATATTCTAAAATTACTGTGAAAAAATAAATGTCATAAAAGCCAAGATAATATTTGAAAAAGAAAATAGTAATCCTGGAATACTTTTATTAAAACACAGTGTAAAGCTATAATCATTAAAACATCACATTACTAGACCATAGTAGGCAGGAATTACAGAAGTATGTAATAAATTTCTAATATTTCTGGATAACTTTTTTATTTCTTTATGTGTGGGTAATTCCAGGAGTCATGGATATATCATAGTGTATAAGACCATTTTGCTATAATAAGAATAGGAGCACAAATAGTTGGCACATTATTCTTCTTGGTAAAATTCCTTTGTGGTCATTAAATAACATTTTTGTCCACAGGCCTTTTTTTGGACATTTGCAGTTGGCTCATGAAGATGTAATGAGAAAAATAAAACTATATAATTCATTCTTCTTCTTTATTTTTGAATTATCAATGCACAAATAGTTTACCTCTTGTTCTGAGCTCTGAAGGAATAATAATAAAGTTACAACCTCTTTCCTTACTAAGCTCATAGGTCATAAGGGAAACTCAGGTTATGTAAGTAACTATTATTCACTACAGTAAGTATTACATTAGCTTTATGTGGTTAAAAGAAGTAACAGTTCTTTCTGCCTGGAAATTGGCACCATAAGAAAGAAGTGCTTCACAGGCAAAGACATTATGTAGATCTCAAAAACCTTTGAAAAATAAGTTGAATGTTGCCAGGAAGAAAAGGAAAAGAGAAATCACTCAAAACAGAGAAGAAAATACTTTTGAATGCATTCAAGCATGGAAAAACACTGAATATGCAAGAACTCTTCATGATCCATTGAGGCAAGAGGATAGCATATCTGAAGTAGGGCAGCAGAAATGCCTAGGAAGATAGAGGACAGATTGTGAAGAAACTTGAATACCAGGCTGAGGGATTTGAACATTACTTTCTAAACCATCCAAGTTTTTTTTATTGTTGTTTTGTTTTGTTTTGTTTTTACAAGAAGGGCATATAAAATACAGATACAAGACTCAGGAGGATTTCTGTGAAGAATATAGCTTAATATCTGGTCTATCCTGTGGCACCAGCACCTATAAAAGTCTCCCTTTTAACTAATTATGTATGTGAAGGTGCTTTGTAACTCAAGGCAAAAATGAAGAGGACAAAAAGATGTGCTGACTGATTGAAAGCATTCTTTAAGACAGTGCTTCTCACGTGTGGAAGTCCATTGAAGTCATCAGGGGAACGTGAAAAAATGCTGATGGCTGGGTCTCACCCCTGTTTCAGATTTAATTGGTCTGGAAAGCAGTCTGAGCTCAGGGTTTTTCAGAGCTTGCCTGGTGATACAGGTATACATTCAAGTTTGAGAACTACTGCACTGAAACAAAAAAAATGATTCTTTCTGCAATTCTATGGTAGTTATTCTCAAATGTGTGTATATTTCATTTTGTTTCTTTCTTCTTCCCTCTAAAATTCTCTTTTTAAATTTATGATGCATCATATAACCCATGTCATCTTAGAAACGAAGAGAAATTCTATATAAAATATAACTTACAATCAATGAAATATAAAGGATATAGAGCTGCTGGTGATAATCCTTAACCAACGTGGCAGGTTTCTTGTTTGTCTCTGCGTGTTATTCTGGTCAGCATTCTCTGCTTACACTGAACTGGCCCCCATATTGTTTTGCCTTCCAATGTCTATCCCTTGTTTTAGGCCACTTATTCCTACATTCTTGCTCATATGTAGTCTCTAATTTTTTGAATCTTTAGTCAATTATTTTTTATTGATTTCTACATAAGGTTTATCTCTTCTCCAGAACATTCAAAAAAGTGGTGACTCTAGTTTTATTAAAAAAAGTTTGACAGTGGCAGGTTTAAAATTCTATTGGCTAGAATAGATAATTTCCAATTTGGAATTATTGCTGAAAACAGTATCATTCTTGTAGTGCTCATCTCTCTCTCTCATCTCTCCCTCCCTCTCTCTCCCACTCTTCATTCTCTCCTTTCCTCCCTTCCTCCCTTCCTCCCTTCCTCCTTTCCTCTCTCTCATACCCTCAACCCCAAAGGGACACTCACCAACCAAAATCTCAGAAAGAGCTTAGAGGTTTATTGTGAAAGATGAAGCCGAAACTGAGGATATATATTTTTTTAATTTCTTTATTGATTAAGGTGTTACATATGTGAGGGTAGATTTTTAATGTGATAAATGATGAGAACTATAAGAATCATAACTGCCCTAAGAATGTGCAGTGCTATGGGAGAAAGGAAAACAAGTCTGAGAGATACCTCAGAATTGCTGTTAGTGTCAGTGAACAGATGAACTTGTAATTATGTTGTTTATTTGCTTTACCTTTTACTATTCTTCCCACTGTAATGTAAGCTCCATGGGCATAAGACCTTGTTTTTTTGTTCACTATTGTATCTCTATTGCCTAGTTCATTTTCTTCTGCAGAGTGAGTGTTTATCAAATATTTTCCAAGTAACTGAAATAATGTGGAACAGTAAGTAAAAATCAAGTGTCAGATGTGTGATTTTTCAGCATGATCCTAAATTCTCATTCACATATTCAATGACAAACACTAAACAATAGTCATGTTCACCGTGGAGATCTTGCTTAAATATTTAGAAAGCATATCCTAGGTACTTTAGTTAATGACCACCTCTGCATTACTCACTAATGTGACATAGCTGCAGAAATGACAGCATTAGGTCTGGAAATTCTTGTTCAGTTCAAAGAAGATAGTTATTCCATTGTGCTGTATTATTCATTTACTGATGTGAAATCCATATTTCCGAGAGTTAGACCAGCTAATTAAGGCGTAGTCCACAGAAGGCAACCAGAGCAGAGGCTATGTCATTTGAAGAGTGGTTTAAAGCTTGGAAAATGATAGCTGAAGAGAAAAGTATGTGTAGAGTAGGATTCAAGGGATTGGATTCTAGACCAAGTTTCAATGGCCATGGTCAATTAAGTTGTCTTTTGGCCCCAGTAACCTCTTCTATAAAGAAAGGGGAAAGTCTTACTCTCTAAGATTTCTTCCAGCTATTTTATTTAAAAATCATAAATTTTCAGTAGTATATGTCAACATGAGAATTACCTTCAAGTAATGAAGAGCTGCTCACATGTAAAATTATACTGGTTTGGTTGGTTTTATTTTAAAAAGTAGAATTATTCCTAACAGGCAGGAATTACATGAGGAGATTTTAGTTCAACCTAAGGGATGGTTTTTTAACCATTATATTACTACAACGAGAAGAGGCTTATTGTGTGAAAGTAGTGATGCTTCATTCATCATTCTCAAGGATATCAAATAGGGAAATTACTCATCAGGTCAGAAAATGAACTTGATAACACCTCTTAATTATTGTGTATATTTGCCGAAACCGGTTTGGCTCAGTGGATAGAGCGTTGGCCTGTGGACTGAAAGGTCCTAGGTTCGATTCTGGTCAAGGGCATGTACCTTGGTTGCGGGCACATCTCCAGTAGGAGGTGTGCAGGAGGCAGCTGATCAATGTCTCTCTCTCATCGATGTTTCTAACTTTCTTTCCCTCTCCCTTCCTCTATGTAAAAAATCAATAAAATATATTTTTAAAATTATTGTATATTTTTATTCTCCTAAGTCTTAGGATCTAAGGTAGTGAGGGCCAAACAAGACTTCAAGCCCAGTGTTCTAACCATCATCTATGCCAGTATACTGAATTGAGTAAATGATTTTCTTTTATCATAAAGTGAGAAGGGTGGAAACATGGAGCAGCAAAACTTCTTCTCTTTGATCCTCTTTATCATGTTCAGCAGGTTCAAGGTCAACTGCCGCCATTGATGATTCCCGTTTTCCCTCCTGACCAACGGACACTGGCTGCAGCTGCCCAGCAAGGATTCCTTCTGCCTCCAGGCTTCAGCTACAAGGCTGGATGCAGTAAGTACCATTGAGTTTTCTCATTTGGGAGTGGGTGGAGGTTATGGCATTAAATTAGACAATTTAACATTTCTGCCACACCAAGAAATGAGATCACCCATATAGTATATTTATTTTAAATAGGAAACACACAGAAGGTATTGAAAGGGATTCATGTTGGTATTTAAAAGAGCTCAGATTATTTCTGTGCTTCTGAAGCCAATGTTTACTCTTTATAATTAAGTTTCATAACTTATATTTTCAGTGTATTCATAAAATATGAATACCATAATTTTCAGGTTTCATTTATTTTTACATAGATAAAATAGGAATATGCTTTCCAATAACTTTATATTGTTGTTGTTGTTGTTGTTGTTTTTAAGATAAACCCAAGCTTTCTAATATGATCAGTTGTAGTTGGCCTTTTATTCTGTCTCCACCCTGTATTTATGGCTTAATTTTTTCCTAGTGTTATTTTAGTTTCCAGACCAAACCTCTTTCTTAACTCTGGACTGGCATTTTGAGTATTCACTCTCCTTGATGTTCTGAACCCCTTTTTACTCAGACCAACGAGAGGTTGCCTGTTTGATCCCTTTTGGTTGGTTCCTTTGGATCTTGGATCTATAGGGGTGGAAAAAAGTAGGTTCATTATTATATTGTACTAATAATGCAAAAAATTAATCGATAAATAATAATAATACAAGAATAAACTCACATACAACTGTACATCTACTTTTTCCCACCCTGTGTTTTCTCTTTCCTTTTAATTATAAGCTCTATGAGAGCAGGTACTTATTCTATCTTATTTATTGTTGTATCTAAACTTTTATTATAACATTCAACTATTTCTCAAATGATTGTATGAAGAATGAATGAGTCCTCTTACAAATACTACAAGGGCATTTTTGACTAAGTGATAAGTTATCAAGATAATGGTTTATATTGCTTATTAATTTTACATGCCTATTATTTTTTCTTTTTTTTTTCTTTTTTACCAAAACCAAAATTGTACATTGGTAGTTTTAGAAACAATCAAATACTTCATTATTTAAAAATTTACATAGCCAAAATGTCAACTGTAATGTGTTAAATAAAAATAGTAAGTTCCAAAAAGAGGCTAAATTTATAAGCTAAGTACCTTCAAAAACATCTTTACCACACCTAGAAAGATTATAAAGTAAGTTTATTGAAATAGTTTTCATTGATTAAAGTAGAACACCAGTTAAAACAATTAGTGAAATATTATCACTTTAGATATTTATGCAGAATATCATTTTATAAATAACAATAGATTTGGGTTCACTTATATGTTAATAAGTTGTCCCATTAGCATTTTGCTATGCTTCAGGATTTACTACCTTTGCAAAACTCTATCCACCATTAATAGAAATCAAATCTAAGGCCTCTGTTAAATGATGTTTTGAATTTTCATATTTATTATTTATGTCTAGTCTTTAAACCTTTATTTATATAATATTGAAGAAGTGGAATGTAATTTTTCAAATATACAAAGTAATTTGGGATGAGTAATTATAACTATGAAGTCTAAATAAAAAGTGAACTGAACTCAGGACTATAAAAATTCACTCTTTTATGGTACTGTACCTTTTGTGGGCTTTACACTGAGTTTGTACATCTTTCCCTCTCTCTGCCCCCCCCCCCTTTTAACTTCAGTTCTCTATGTTTTAAGATGATGTTCTCACTCTGGATTTTTAATTTATTCACTTAATATTATTTACCAAATCATTCTTTCTTTGTAGATCAAGAAACACCAGTTTTTAAAAATAAATAATTAGGGACTATATTTACATTTTAAATGTTTAAATTCTAGGAATAATTTAAATTCTAAAAATAGAGTGTTAAGTTCTATCACTACACTAAATTCTGAGATTTTATTCGTAAAGATTTTTGTACTTTGTTTTCTTTCCATTCTCCTAAGGAATTACTATTCACATTAAGCAAATGTTGCAGTATAGTTTTGGTAACCTAGGTTACTAAAATGAAAAAAAAAGGCACTTTTAAAAGTCATCAGTTGCCTCAGACTGCACCTGCAATATATACATATAGACTACTTCTGTTTTCCAAAAAGAAAAAAAATTTAAGCAACTATAGAAATAAGTCCCATTAGCAATTATTTTGCTGAAGAGAAAACCACATTGAGTATGAACAATAGCATAACTGTGGGCTTGGAAAAGGTCAAGAACACCTCAGCCTCACTCCCGTTTGACAGAGTTGGCATACTAAATTTGTTCAGTGTGACTGTAATGTGGCAAGCAGAAATTTTTCCTTTCCCACAATTGTGAGCGTATTAACTATTTGATATTCATATCCAGAGTGCTTAAAGTTAATATACAATACCACTTCTGATAAAATAGAATAAGATCTCCATAGTTGATGGCAACCTTGCAATGAGCACCATGCCAAACTCTAGAACTCTAAGAAGCCAATAGCAAAAGAAAGAGGCATCCCTGGTGACACCCTGGCATGTGCCAGTCAGTTTGATTGAGGTGCTGGGTGGAAGCAATAAGTAGTGCAAAGTACTTCCTACCCAGTCGCACTGTGGAAAGGAATAGTGGTAGGGAGAGAAGGAAATCCTGACATCTCTCTTCAGTGGGCCTTCATTTTCATTCCTCTCATAATTGTCAACCATATGTGATTTCTCTGGTTGTCAGTTGTTTCAAGTGATATCAATAGTTGTCAATGAGAGACTGCCTAATCCATCTTGATTTGAGTTCCAAGTCAATATATATACCATTTGTTGGCATCAAAAACTCAAATGCTTTTCTTCAATCCATTTATAAAAAGTATTGGTGATACATTTTCCTGTTTAGACTGTGACTTGATAAAATAAATAAAACAAAAACCTATGGAATCTTATGAAAAGAGCTAATATGTTCTCAACAGGGAAGTAATAAAACAAAATTACAGGTCCGGGGACTTAACCATCATACATTTTGTTAACATCTGTTTTTGAAAATAATATGGTTTTTGGACATAAAGATATTTTCCCTTTAAGAAATATAAGGGTAGAATCAGAAAAATTGTAATATAGCTGTGCATCATGAAACAATATAAGAATAAAAATCTGTGTTTTAAATTGTATTTGTGGGTACTGGCTCATTGTAATCAGAAAACAATCATTACAGTCCTGAAGTAAACTTGAAAATTTAAACAACCAAGGTTCCAATTCTGAATTGTTAAATAAGTGGGTCTTCAAATAAATTGGTTCAAGTACACTTTGGGTGGGAGAAGAGTCTAAGGACAGCCTGGATTTGGAATCAGGTTTTGCCTCATTCTCCTACTTTGACTGTCCTTGTACAAGTTACTGAGCATCAGCTCCCTCATCTGCAAAATGGATTAATGACATATTCTACTAAATCATTAGAGGTTAGATAGGATTTTATATGAAGTGGTCTACCATTATGCCTCTTATTAAATTATTTATAAATGAGAAACACTGAGTAGAATGCTGGGAAAACACAGATCCTATAAAAAAAAAAAAGGATTATTTTCTAAAACCCCACCCAGCAATGAATTGCATTTTATATCATATCTGGGATTACATTCATTCTACCACACCTGCATGAAGCTTCCACTAACTAGGGAAACTTAATTGTTCAGAGAAAAATATCACAGTGCTGCTGAAAACACTTATGCCATGTAGATACAACCTTAACTGAACTATCTTCATTATAATCACTAACTTTTAATCTTTTCTATTGTCATTTTCCACTTGGCTATCAGAGCTGAAGTTTGAAAAGATCATGCTGTTAAAAAAAATGTATGGAATCATTGTTTTGGCTGTAGGAAACTAGAAATGTATTCACCTACTCATTCTGCATTCTAACACATTGATTAATTTTTCAGAAATGTGTTTGATAAAACGGCCACATAAAGTTACTGATTGAAATAGTTAATTGCCTTATGAGATTAGCTTAAATAAATAGAAGTCGATGAGCCAAGCGTAATAAACTTAAAATATGTTGTATTTACTCTTCATCGCTTTTCTGAACAGTATTTCCGCTTTCAATAAAAAAGAAAACTCTCAGTTAATTAATTCCTCATACACCACAATAAAATTAATGTTTAGGAGTTAAATACCATAAACTTCCTCAGGCATATTTGCTGATGTGTTCCTGTTTTCAGTTAATGTCACATGTTTCATTGTTTAATGGGGCTATCATGTGGGTCCTATTATCTCTCTCTTGTGGAAAGGCTCCATGTGTCTGGCATTTTAGGAGGCTGCATGAGAATTTCTGGTAACCGCGTCAGCTGACACACAGGTCACTCACTGACAGTGCTGAAACAGTGACCACATCACAAGCTACACACCACTGACATGGTACGTCTTTATCAAACTGACCAGATAGGAAACATGTGTTGTCAGGGTCGCATCCATAGGTTCTGGCTAAGTAAGCAGCAAGGACAGGTTGTAATCATAGCTCAGGCTTCTGTGTTTGTGTGCATGAGAATTATTGTGACCAGCTTTTCCTTTTATCCCATCCTCCCACCCCCATCTTATAAATCAGATGTTGGGGACATCTGATTTAGTTATAAATATGTATATTTTAATTTTATATTTCCTTTGTTCCTTTTTATTTTTTTCCAATTACAGTTTACATTCAATATTATTGTGTATTAGTATCAGGTGTACAGAATAGTTGTTAAATAACCATATATTTTATATAGCGTTCCCCCGAGATTTTCAGTTCCCACCGAACATCATATGGCAATATTAATGACTATATTTTCCCTGCTGCACTTTACATCCCATGACTATTTTGTAACTACCAACCTGCACTTCTCAATCCCTTCACCTCTTTCAACCAGTTCCCCAACTCCCATCCTTTCCGGCTGCCATCAGTCTGTTTTCTGTATAAATATTTATATTTTTAAAGGATTGCTTTGGCACCTGAACAGCCAATCATTTACATTCCCATCTGAAGGAAGTTATATTGCTGAATTGATAATATAAAATGATTAACAAATAAAAAGAACTGAGTATATAAAACATTCTAGAA